ACCTAGTGAAGACCTGATAGAACTGCAGGCCCAGAAGAAAGACAAAGACGAAAGGAAGAAGTAACTGCAGAACCAAAGAGATTCATGACACCGGAAATGGCAAGGGTATTTTCTTTATCTGAGGAGGCACTGTTCGTTTTTGAGACCCAGGACCCAAATGTAGACTGGTACACAAAGATTGCAGCAGCCGTTGAGAGATGCAATCCAGTGTTACTGTGTTATCTATGGTGAGAAAAAAACTACCCAGACATCACTGGATTTGTCTGGATTGTTTTTTCAAGAGGGTAGATGGAATTGAATCCAGCAAGGAAGCAGAACCTGTGCCATCAGCATCAGGCATGAGTGAAACTGCAGCTTGCCCTCCGCCTCCTATTGCTGACATCCTGCAGCTCTGCCATCTCCCACCTCCCCTCCCTCCTCCAGACAGAACTCTTCTTGCCTGTCCACTCGATGCCAGCCCCTGTGTGCCAGCTATTGTACTGTACTACCATACTGTAAGATAAAAAGTGTTTTCTTCATTGTTCTCTGTCTTTTTTTATGTATTATTTGTGTGGAAAGTATTAGAAACCTATCACAGTACACTACCATATAGCCGATTGTGCTTGTTGGGTACATAGGTTAACTTTGTTGGACTTAGGAACAAGTTGGACTTAGAAACACGCCCTCAAAACGAAACTCATACGTGTGGGACTTACTGTACTGTTTATCAATTCATAACAATCTCTACAAAGAAATAAGAGAAAAAGCTAGTTGCATATTCTCTGTGCTCAGAGTAGATAAGTCAGCACGTGCAGTTTTGCAATATTTTGTCTTTCACAACTACCAAGCCACATCAATCATAACATTGCTTAGACCTATATAATATTTGACTGCTTTATTCTACATGTCAGCTGCTTGAACCATCCTCCTTTATACAGGAAATTTACATTTAATTTTTCCTGTAGCTTGCAATTCTGATGCCTCACCATTCAGTTAAGATGGTTATTGATAAAAAAAGTAAAAAGGATTTCAAAAATCCAAGCATAGGCCCCTTCTTAAGAATAATGATGCCAGCACTAATATTCTGATGCAACTTCAATGTAATATGAAGACATTCTCAGCCAGTCTCGTCTGTTGCCTGAGCCACAGAATTTCTCAAGACAGAAAAAGGCAGCATGTTCCTAGTCTTTCGACTCTGACTCCCTGTTCTGAAAATTCATCCTGCATACATGAGGGAAAAATAAAAGTACTAAAAATACAAACAAAACAAAACTTGTAAAAGAGGTTGGAAATCAGAAGGTTTTACAGGTTTCCTCTTGGTGGAGATTATCCAGTAGTCAGAGATTTATTGTTGTTCTTGTTAGCTGCTCAGTCGTGTCCAACTCTTTGTGACCCCATGGACTGTAGCCCACCAGGCTCCTCTGTCCATGGAATTCTCCAGGCAAGAATACTGGAGTGGGTTGCCATGCCCTCCTCCAGGGGATCTTCCTGACCCAGGGATCAAACCTGGGTCTCCTGCATTGCAGACAGACTCTTTACGATATGAGCCACTAAAGATGCCCTAATCAGAGATTAACCAGCACCTGTAAAAAGATTACCTGAAGTTAAGAGTAACACACTCTTATCACTCAAAAATACACTTAATAAGCCCCTGCTCTTCTAGAAACTATTGGGGGATACAACAACAGTAAGGACAGCCTAACCTTGTAGGATTCACCATCCAGTGGGGTGGAAAGTTATGTGAACAAACACACAAGATAATGGATTTGCAGGAACTATTAAAGATCTATGAACAAGGGATAGCAAAAGCACTGACAACAAAACAAGGAAAATGGGTCAAATCCTGGAAAAGGGTGTCAGAAAAGGTGTTACTAGGAATTTATCTTTAAACAGGGTCCTAAAAAGTACACAGTAGAAAAGAAGGGGAAGGGGACTTAAGTCAGAGCAAAGGAGGCCTGCTTCCCATGCAACGAGGCAGGCAGGAAGAGAATGTGAAAACAGATACAGAAAGAGAACATGCACCGTCTCCTTGTATAGTAGCCGGGTGGACCCTCAAGGCTGGCACAGTTGCATTCCCCACCTGATGGTATGAAAGCAGTGAGCCCTGGCTCTGGCCTCCTCTGACGGGCAGGCCCCTCACTCCATGCAGCCAACAGTTAGCTCAGAATGTCAGCAGCACTTCTGCGAGCCGCACCACCCACGTATCTCCTTGATCTCATGTGTCCTGTGCATGAACCATTTGTTGCTTCAGTAGCAAGCCAAATAAACGCAACCTCACATCAGAAGTCATAGCAGTCTCTGGAATCTGGCCTAGAGACAGCTGAGCGCAGGGGACAGCACGTGGGAGGATGCAGTGGTGAGAGGGAGAGCTTTTGCGGGAACTGGAGAAGCATGAGGTAGACCCTTCTGCCATGCTAGACCATGTAGATTTTGTCTCTTAATAAGGAGGCATAAACTGGTCCTTAGTGAAAAAATTTTGTGAGAAAAAAACTACAACATTAGGTAGGATATAGACAGATAACAGATTAAACCAGTGGCAGGGAGACTAGTTAGGACACTAAGGCAATTATCTTTCTAAAGAAGGTCCAGACTTAGATACCAGACAGAGGGAAAAAGGAAAGCGAGATGGACATAAGGGACATTCTACCTTCGAGGTTATAGCAAGGGTCCCCAACTGCGGGGCCACAGACCAATACCGGTCCATGGCCTGGTAGGAACTGGACCTCACAGCAGCAGGTGAATGGTGGGCAAGTGAGCAAAACTTCATCTGTATTTACAGCTGTCCCCCATCACTCGCATTACTGCCTGAGTTCTGCCTCCTATCAGATCAGTGGTGGCAAGAGATTCTCATAGGAGCACAAACCCTACTGTGAACTACAGATGAGGAATCTAGATTGCATGCTCCTTCCTTTTTTTTTCAGTTGGACAAAAATTGCTTTACAATGTTGTGTTGGTTCCTGCCATACAACAATGAAAATCAGTCATAATTATACTTATATCACCTCTCAGATACAAGGTCCTTAAAGAATTATCCCCAAACCAATTCTAGCCTCCATCCATGAAAAACTGTCTCCCATGAAACCAGTCCCTGGTGCCAAAAAGGTCGGGGATGGCTGGCTTGTAGGATTTGGTAAACAGGTGGATATAGATGGTGCAAAAGGATGCATTCTGATTTCTAAATATGGAAGTTGTGTAAATGGAACAGTCAAAACAAACTATGACAGGTTTTGGAAAGGTAGGAGAGCAAGGATCTACAATGGAGGAAGAATCAGTCTTAGGAAGAGGGACTGAGGAAGGAAGGAAGAGGGGCAAGTGGGGCAGTGGATGGGTGGGAAAGGGGGCAAGATTACCCTACATTCTCATTTTCTACCTAAGTCTTATTCAGTTGGTATTTTCCAGGATTGTGTCCTTGGCGCTCTTTAGCCTTCTCTCTTTTCCTTCCCCCTGCGTGCTCATCAACCCCCACACCTTCAATCATTCTTTACACAATAACTCTTAAATTTCTATCCCAAGCCCTAAACTAAACCTATATAATACAGTGGCCACTTGGATATCAACATGTGGTTTTCATTGGTATGGCTAATTGCCTAAAGTGAGAACAAAACTTTAAAAGGATCCCTTTTGGGTAAAACCTGTTGAGTGCTACATTCCCTAGTTAGAAAGTGTCTTGGCACCAATTCGTCTCCATTTCTTCATTATTCCTCATCTCAGTCAGTGTCCACGCTGGGAACACAGAAGGCAAGAGTTACTAGGGAGGATTTAAAATGGATGACCAACAAGGTCCTGTTGTATAGCACAGGGAACCCTGCTCAATGTTATATGGCAGCCTGGAAGAAAGGGGAGTTTGGGAGAGCAAGGATACACGTATATGTATAGCTGAGTTCCTTCGCTGTTCATCTGAAACTATCACAACGTTGTTAATCGGCTATATCCCAATACAAAACAAAAAGTTTTAAAAAGGAGTTAGCAAAGAGGATGGCAACATGCATTAAGGAAATGAGGAGAATGCAGCCTGGCTTACTCTGTTGTAAGTGGTACTGGGGAAAATCGAGGGGGAAGACATACGTCTAATAAATGCTGTGCTTCCAAGAATGGTAATGTATACATCTAAAGATTTGTGCTAAAATGGTTAGGAGAGGTAACTCAAGTGGAAGAATATGAAAAAAATTTAGGGGAAAATTTAGGGGAAAACACTGACATATTTTTAGTCACTCAGAACCATTTCCAACTTCGCCTTGCGTATTTCTTCGAAAATTCTAACTGAGGGGTGGGGTGAGGGAGTGAGAATGCTGGAGAGAAAAACTGGCTTCTAAATTCCAAAGAAAGAAAATCAAGGCTAAAAACAGACCATAAAGAGGACAGGGGCTGATGAAATACAGAGAAAAAAACAAAATCATTGTCTACCCTGTTGAAATAAGCATTATCTACTCTGAGATGTTAGAGCAGCTGAGAGGATAAAAGGTCTTCTTTATCTTCTTACATGAGCAATGGAAAAAGTAACCACTCTTCTTCCATGATCAGGCTTTTCCTACCTTTTTAAAAGAATAGCCAACTCACTGGAAAAGACCCTGATGCTGGGAAAGATTGAAGGCAAAAGGAGAAGGGGGTGGCAGAGGATGAGATGATTGGATGGCATCATTGATTCAATGGACATGAACTTGGGCAAACTCCAGGAGATGGTGAGGGACAAGGAGGCCTGGCATGCTGCAGTCGATGAGGACTCAAAAGAGTCGGACACGACTTAGGGACAGAACAGAGCAACCACCACCTTTGAAAAATACTCCCAGTAGTATTTCTGGATTTGTTAAACTCAAGAAAATTATCTAGGCTGAAAAATTACCAAGATAATCTGGTTTTGTTCTTCTACTGTGGTTCTGCCTCAAAGAGCAGAAACTCATTCCCGGTTGCCCTCCACTTTTTCCTCTGATGGCCATTCTGTGAGGTTTGGGTCTGTCAGGGATGAGTCTCCCATGAGTCAGGGGTTTGGGAAGGAGCCTGTGGACAGCAGTGACCCCACTTACCAGAGATTCACTGGCACATTGGAACACGTAGCAAATATACTGGCTCAGTCCAGGCTCCGCAGACTCCCGACAAATAAAGCCAAAGTGATCAACATGCTTTATACCCTGGAGAGGGAAGAAGTGGGCTGTTTACAAGATTATGTCCATTTAACCAACACTATGGAAACAGTTCTGTGCTTTCACACTTTCATAAATTTCTCCCTCACAGCACTGTGGTAGGGGACATAATGGCAGAGCAAACGTATATGGCAGACTTTTGATACATAAAATAAAGGGTAAAACCAGCTCAGATTACTTTCTTTCTGGCAAACACTCTGTGACTCAGGGCCACAGAAGGAAAAACAGGATGGCACGATCCATTGTCTCCTGTAATAAAACCACTACCGAGTGTTTGGCAGTAATGGAGTTTTCAATTTATTGGTCATCATTGAGCAAGCAGTCTGATGATTCATCATAAGCCCTGTTCTTATTTACTTGCGATTAAGAATCATAAAATTGACAATGCTCTACTGAAATGGCATACAATTCCCTAAAGTATGCATTAGAACTACTAGAATATTTGTCTATTTATAGACATTCAAGAAGTCACAACTGTTAGAAGATGAATACATTAAAGAATTTACTGCAGATGTCAGTGATCCAAATTCAACAATCTGTACTTTCTGAACACAGGTTAAATGACCTCAGTTACACTTTATAAAAAAAATTCTGAATTATTTGAGAACTTCAATCAGCCTAAATTACATACACACCAACTAGCAGCCAGTAACACCCTGTGGCCTGGCATGCTGCAGTCCATGGGGTCACAAAGAGTCGGACACGACTGAGCAACTGAACTGAACTGAACTGAACTGAGTACCTAGTTACTTTAACAAAAAGCATGGTACTTTGAAAAGTAAGGAAAACCAAAAATTTAAAGTTGTCCTGTAATCACTTAAATTCCAGGGAAAAGAAAACAGGCTTTGGAATCAGATTTGTGCTTCCACCTCGGTTCAAGCAATTTACTAGGTATAAGATATTGTGATGTGTTGATAAAAAGTATCTTGGAAGTTCCACCTCTCGTTATAAAATAGTAGTCATGGCACCTATTCCCAGAAATTTTTGAGATTCAGAACTAAGAAACATCTTAGTTCCTTGCATGTTTGATAAACAGTAACCACAATTCTTGTATTAATAAGCTTCACCATCCAATGGATATGGAAAAAGGAAATCAACTCTATAAATATAAAAAGTTAATAGGAGGAATGAAGTTATACAGTCCAAGTTCAGTTCAGTTCAGTTGCTCAGTCATGTCCGACTCTTTGCGACCCCATGAATCACAGCACACCAGGCCTCCCTGTCCATCACCAACTCCCGGAGTTTACTCAAACTCATGTCCATCAAGTCGGTGATGCCATCCAGCCATCTCCTCCTCTGTCGTCCCCTTCTCCTCCTGCTCCCAATCCCTCCCAGCATCAGGGTCTTTTCCAATGAGTCAACTCTTCGCATGAGGTGGCCAAAGTATTGGAGTTTCAGCTTCAGCATCAGTCCTTCCAATGAACACCCAGGACTGATCTCCTTTAGGATGGACTGGTTGGATCTCCTTGCAGTCCAAGGGACTCTCAAGAGTTTTCTCCAACACCACAGTGCAAAGGCATCAATTTTTCGGCACTCAGCTTTCTTCACAGTACAACTTTCACATACAGTCCATGAGGTGAAAGTAAATACCATCTGATACAACTCATTCATGATTATAGAATTTCTTTGACTTGGGACTTCCCAGGAGATCAAGGTTAAGAATCTGTGCTTCTACTGCATGAGGCATGGGTTCAATCCCTGATTGGGGAACTAAGATCCCACATGCCTGCACAGTGCAGCCAAAACCAAATAAATAAATAAAATAAAGTGGAGAAATAGCATCATCTTAAGAAAAAAAAATCTTTGACTAACTTGGCATTAAATGGGAAAAATGCATAGTACCGCATCAGCTCACCAAGTTTTCAGGCAGTGGCAATGTTCCAGTAAAGAAAACCACTCCCTTATTCCTCACGCTTGCCAAAAATCCAATCCTACTGAGTTTGAAGAAAGAAACTTACATAGGGGTACATGTGAGGAGCCTGGTAGGCTACAGTTCAAGGGGTCGCAAAGAGTCACGTCATGTCGTGTGTTAAAAAGTATGCCTGTTCCCAAATGCGGCCAATTCTATCAGTGCAATTCTGTGGAAAAGTAATAGGAGTTGGCCATGCAGTGAGGGGCAGAGATTAACCTGACAATTATTCTGATCAAAGGCCTTTACACAAAATTTCCTCACATTTCAGTCAATTCTTTTTCTTAATGCTTAATGTCAATACAAAGCTTGCTCTAAAAGAAAAAAAGAAAGGAAAAGGAAAAATCTTGTTTGAACTGCCAGTTTATATATTTGGTTTGGCTGCTTCTTGTTTTCTTCTTTTTCAATATTTTTTTTTCCCTTAAACATTCAATGAGCATTGCTAGTTTTCTTCCTGCAAGACTTGGGGTGGGGCTAGGGAGACGCACAGCCTTTTCCAATGGCGACCCTTGCTCTGGGAAATAGGAAATACACAGCTTTGCACACGACTCTCAACACTGGGCCTGAGGCCCTGCAGAAATATTCATTCAACATTTATTGAACACCTAAGCATTAAGCTCTGTCTTAACACATCTTATTCTCTGATGCCCTACAGCATAAGACACCCACCCTCACAGACTTTACGATCATGCAAAGACCCCCCAGGAAACATGTCGTTACACGAATGCTTAGTAAATACTATTTTTCAGTTAAAATGAATCATCTTTCTACCAAACTTTTTGTCCCTTAAATAGGAATTTAGAAATTTTCAATATATTCACCCTAGAGTCAGATTCTGCCTTTCTCAATTATTAGAGTAGAAAGCTTTTATCTTCAGAACATAATTTTAGGTCTCCATATAATAGAACAAATATTAAAATAAAACACTAGAAGTGAAACTACATTAGCTGAGTCTAAGGAGAGTAATTAACAAGATGTACAAAAGGTTGTCATTTTCCAACAGAAGAATATCTGAACATCCTACTTATGGCAGTGTTAACTTCAAAGTTCAAAAAAATTTTTTTAAATAAGCAGCCTTGATTTTCAACATTAAAATGTAGGAAAGGGCCTTGGCAAGATCCAAGACCCTGAAGGTACATCTAAGGTACACCTATTAGGAAATAAGTTATTGCTTCTCTATTCCAGAGACCTCCTCAGAGGCATCCTTGCATTTTTAACTTTCTCATATTCGATTTTAGATACTCCCTCCATTCCAACATCTTCAGAAATTCTTTCTAGGTTTGCCATATAGTTAGGCAGCTCTAACTTTTGGATAGCTGTACTAAATTATTATATTACTATGGTACTTAGAATACTACTTTATGCCTGATATGACCTCAACCACATATAATTGAATTGATTATTTTTAAAACTTTCATATACACAGTATAAGAATTAACAACAAGTAAAAGGCCAATGATACACATACAAACCTTCTTTTCAAACTTCAACATTTACATCAATAAACTTGAAAGTACTAGTTCTCCTTTTATTACCTATTACGGTATAAAGAGCAAACATGACTCAGTGATGCCAAAACCCACTGCCCAAGATTCTGAGGAAAACTAACTGAGAAGATATTTCCAAAAGAACTCACCACCACAAAAATTCCACTCACCCCTTTGATGAAGGGATGCCACGAGGAGACCGGGTTGATGACAGTGAGGACAAAATATTATGATACTGAGAGACCTGGACAGGATTCTGTTACTGGCAGAGACCCAAACACATGAACACTCTGACGATAAATCCACTTGGCAAAAACCACCACAATATTGTGGTGGTAAATATTGTGGTAAAGTAATTAGCTTCCAATTAAAATAAATTAGTTTTTAAAAAATAAATAAAATTTGAAGGGATTCAATCCCAGTTACTTTATGGTTAATTGAGAAACAAGCCTTAATTGGTTTCCTCAAATACTATAATCTACTTCAATACATACCTGGGAACAAGAAGAGATGTCTTTAAAATTCTTCTCAAGCACAACTGATTTAGTGTCTGGACTGATAAGGTTAATCTCAAACCGTCCAACCTTAAAAATAAAGCATTCCAATTAATTTCAACTTACCAAGAACCTAATATCTTACTTTACAATTAAATATTTGACTAATAATACAGATTCAAATGCTCTATACAGGATATATGTGCTTCCCCGGTAGCTCAGCTGGTAAAGAATCTGCCTACAATGCAGGAGACCCTGGTTTGATTCCTGTGTTGGGAAGATCCAGTGGAGAAGGGATAGGCTACCCACTCCAGTATTTTGGGGCTGCCCTTGTGGCTCGCTGGTAAACAATCCACCTGCAATGCAGGAGACCTGGGTTGGATCCCTGGGTTGGAAAGATCCCCTGGAGAAGGGAAAGACTACCCACTCCAGTATTCTGGCCTGGAGAATTCCATGGCCGAATAGGAACCATGGACTGTATAGGAATATACAGTGTCAATGCCCAACCCCATCAAATTTACAACATCAGTTATCAGTCATCTGAAAACATTTCTTCCTTTCATCTAGAAATCATGAAATAAGCTGCTCTTAATTTAAAATAAACCATTTTTTTCCAAATTAGAAATTGTCTTTTCAAAAAAAACACAATCTCTCCTCACTTTATGTTTTCTAAAAATACCAATTATTTAATTAGAATTTAAAATCTTACTTTCTCACAAAGGATCAACAGAAAGATATGCTTGCAATTGGCAGATAATTTTTTTTAGTTTTTTAAATAAACAACCATTTAGAAAAAAATTAACAACATGGACTCTGGCTAGCTAAGAAAAGGAACAAATCAAGACAGGAAACTCAGAGGACTTCCCTGGCTGTCCAGTGGCTAAGACTTCACCTTCTAATGCAGAGGATGCTGCTTTGCTCCCTGGATGGGGAACTAAGATACCACACGCCTTGCAGCCAGAAAGCCAAAACATAAAACAGAAGGCATACTGTAACAAATTCAATAAAAACTTTAAAAATCATTCACATAAAAAAAAAATCTTTAAAGAAAGAGAGGAAACTCAGTTAATATATTACCAAAGAAAAGACTATAGACACTTTAATCACATGCCTCGACTTATCAAGAACAAAACAGAACAAAACAACCACGCACTTCTGATAAAGCAAATATTACATCCCGGGACTATTTACCAAGGTACACAGTGCAATTTCCTTCTTAAGGACTCTTTGCAATGGGATAAAAGGACCGTCACTCCTTTTTTCAAGAAAGCTCAAATCTGAGGAAAACTCTAATCCTCAAAGCTGAGGATTAATTAAAGAATCTCTACAGGGCATTGTTAGGAATTCAGTTCTTTCAAGTGGAACTGGACACTTTCTATACCCTGTAGAACTTCCAAAACTACTTTTTAGAATTAAGAATCGTGTTTTACACCTATAATATAGCTTGCACCCAATCATTTTAACAACTGATCCAATAAATCATCAGGCTTATGATGTTTCCTAAACCTCTCCTTTGTATGACAGAGTAAATTGGTGTATCCTCATCTGAAGATACAACCATGAGTCTCTGGACTTTTTTTTTCTCTAAAAAATTCTCTCTCCTTCAAGAAGATTCACTCTCCTAGATTCACATCTTCAAACCCTTCTGACTTTCTGCAGTCATTAAAAAATAATAATAATAAATAGCAACATTTACTGAAGAATCATGTGTGGGGTGAGTCATGTCCAACTCTTTGCCACACCATGGACTGTAGCCTGCCAGGCTCCTCTGTCCATGGAATTTCCAGGCATGAATACTGGAGTGGGTTGCCATTTCCTACGCCAGGGAATCTTCCCACCCAAGGATTGAACCTGCATCTCCTGTGTTTCCTGCACTGGCAGGGAGGATTCTTTACCACTGAGCCACTTGGGAAGCCCTAGTGAAGAATCAACCTAAGACAAACGCTGGTGATGCTAAGACTGCTTCAGCAGTTACCAACTCTTTGAGACCCTATGAACTGTAGCCTGCCAGGCTCCTCTGTCCATGGGATTCTCCAGGCAAGAACACTGGAGCGGGTTCCCATGTAACCCTCCAGGAGATCTTCCCCACTCGGGGATGGAACCCCTTCTCTCAGGTCTCCGGCATTGGCAGGCAGGTTTTTTGTTGTTTGTTTGTTTGTTTACAACTAGCGCCATCTGGGTTGCTGCTGCTGCTAAGTCGCTTCAGTTGTGTCCGACTCTGTGCGACCCCATAGACGGCAGCCCACCAGGCTCCCCCGCCCCTGGGATTCTCCAGGCAAGAACACTGGAGTGGGTTGCCATTTCCTTCTCCAATGCATGAAAGTGAAAAGTGAAAGTGACGTGGCTCAGTCGTGTCCGACTCTTCGCGACCCCACGGACTGCAGCCTATCAGGCTCCTCCGTCCATGGGATTTTCCAGGCAAGAGTACTGGAGTGGGCTGCCATTGCCTTCTCCATCTCTGCTAATTTCTCCAAGCAACTTTCCCTGATGCTCCTTCGAGCGCTTCTCTCTCTTTCCCTCCCTGCCCTGCTCCCTTTTCTCTTACATTCCCTGTCTGCCTCTCACCCCTTCACTATTGTCCTTTGCTCTCTTTCTCCGACCTGCCTTCTCTGCTGCCTGGGGGACATGACAGAAAAGTTGGATGCTTCCAGATTGAGGACCAGGGAGAAGCTGGCGGCCGGGCTACTTCCGGCTATGGCAAAAGATGGGGAAACACCGGGAGAGCTGGCGGCCAGGACAGCACCTGAAACAGCATGGTTCTGTTCTTCTCCGAGTCCGAGGGCTGCACGTGGCTGGGCGCGCTGGCGTGCCTCCTCCGCGGCTGCGGCTTCTGGCTGTTCTCGTGAACTTTCCTTTGCAGGACCCCCGTGACGCTGCTGCACCGAGACCGGAACTCCTGCTGTTCATCGAAGCCCGAATCTTCCAAAATCCTCTCGGGGAAGCAGACTCGCGAGCTGGATGGCCCAGGCTGGCTGGGCGCGGCAGGGAAGACGGGGTGGATGTCCGCGACGCCAGCCCCTTCCTCCAACAGAACGTCCGCGGGGGAGGCCGGCGTCCGGGCCTCGGATCCCGCCTGGTCCTCGCCCGAGTCCCCCGCGCGCGGCTCGCCCTGGAGCCGCAGGCGCTGCTGCTCGTGCAGGCTGAACTTCTCGATGCAGTCGTCGATGAGGCTGGACGGCGCCTTCTTGTGGGTCACGGTCACCCTGCCACAGTACAGAACCTCGAACTTCTGAGAGTTGTAAAAGGCGTCCTCGTTGTCTTTGCTGGGTTTGGCATCCTCTTTCATGGCAGCTTTCGATAACTGCCTTATGCTGCTGATAACATCGGGAACCTGGAAAAGAATTCAGAACAATTATTATTATCACACGGAATGCATTCTGATGGTAAATGATAAAATACTGCAAGTAATAGGCCCTACATAAGATAAAGTATGGGCTTTCCTGGTGGCTTAGTCAGTAAAGACTCCGTCTGCAATGCGGGGGACCTGGGTTCGATTCCTGGGTTGGGAAGATCCCCTGGAGGAGGAAATGGCAACCCACTCCAGTATTCTTGCCTGGAGAATCCCCATGGAGAAAGGAGCCTGATGGGCTACAGTTCATGGGGTCACAAAGAGTCGGTCTTGACTGATCGGCTAAGCACACAAGACAAAGCATAAACTGAAATTATACTATTGGATGTAAGTGATATAAAGAGATTTAAATTTTTTTTATCACTTTTATAATTTCCCCTTTTAAATGTATTCATTTCCCCAAAACAAAGCCATGAGACTCTACAAGCAACCTTTAATAAATTACCACAATATAGCCTTTGAGTTTTTCTAAAAGGTATTATTATCACTGATTCAATGGACATGAACTCTGGCAAACTCCAGGAGATGGTGAGGGACAGACAGGTCTGGCATGCTGCAGTACACGGGCTCGCAAAGTGTCAGACACAACTTGGTGACTGGACAACAACAAAAAGGTATTATAAGGAAGCAAAAGGTTAAAATTAAATTTTAAAAATAAAGTGTAACATGGTTAATGTACCAACCACCACAGAGATAAACTAATTAAGTTATTATGAGCTTCAGCTGAAAGGAATCAAAGTTTCAACAATAAGACTAAAATTAACTTTCTGAATGAAGCGAAAATGCACCTTTAAACCATAGAAAGACACTATTACACACCTAATAGAATGGCTAAAATCAAAAAGACCAAGTACCCACTAGAATATGGAGCAATTGGAACGCCCATACATTGTGTGCAGAAATGTAAAATGGTGCAAGCACCTCAGGAATTTGGCAGTTGCTTAGAAGTTAAACAGATCTATCTCACAACCCAGTCATTCCACTCCTAGATATTTAGGTGAAAGCCCTGAAAATACATGTTCACAGAAAGCCTTGTTCACAAATATTAACAGATGCCTTTGTCACAACATTCCCAAACTCGAAATGACAAATATTCATCAACAGGTGGATGATCGCTAATTGCTAAGGAAATGTAAATCACAACACAATAAAATATCAGCTTATACCTGATAGAAAGATAATTATCAAAAAGATAAGTGATAACAAGTGCTGGGAAGGATGTGGAAAAAAGGAAACCCTTGAGCACTGTTGGTAGGAATGTAAATCAGTGCAGTCACTATGGAAAACAGTATAGAGACTCCTAAAATATTAAAAATGGAACTATCATATGATCCAGCAATTCCACTTCTGTGTAAATATTCAAAAGAAACAAAGTTACTTTCTCAAAAAGATACCTACACCTTCATGTTCATCACAGAATTATTCACAATAGTAAAGACATGGAAACAACCTAAGTTAACGTAGTGAAAGTGAGTGAAAGTTGCTCAGTTGTGTCTGACTCTTTGTGACACCGTGGACTTCTCCAGGCCAGAATACTGGAGTAGGTAGCCTTTCCCTTCTCCAAGGATCTTCCCAACCCAGGGATCAAACCCAGGTCTCCTACATTGCAGGCAGATTCTTTACCAGCTGAGTCACAAGGGAAGCCCAAGAATACTAGAGTGGGTAGCCTTAAAATAATAATAATAATAATATATATATATATATATTACTATATGACTTGAACAAGAAGCTAAGTCACTCATCAAATTTTGTTTAAATAGCTATGATTAAAAAAATCTGAGATGAACAAAATATTTTGGGATATGAAAGCAGAAAGCTTAATAGAAACTTGAAAATATAAAGTACAAACTTCCAGTTACAAGAAAAGTAAGTTCTTGGCATATTATGTACAGCATGGTGACTAGAGTTAATAATACCATATTGTATATTGAAAGTTGCTAAGAGAGTAGATCTTAAAAGTTCTTCTCACAAGAAAAAAAAAATCTGTAACCATTTGAGGTGAGTAGTGTTAAAACTTACATTAATCATTTGGCAATATATATCGTATCAAATCATTATGTTGTACCCCTTGACCTAAATACAATGCTATATGTCAATTATATCTCAATAAAACTGAAGGAAAAAAGTGAACAGATAAACTAAAGGTGGTACTGTTGCTATTTAGTCACTCTGTCATGTCTGACTTTTTTTCGATCCCATCAACTGTAGCCTGCCAGGCTCCTCGGTCCATGGGACTTCTCATGGAATACTGGGATGGGTTGCCACTTCCTTCTCCAGAGGATCTTCCCAACCCAAGGATCAAATCTGCATCTCCTATATTGACAGGCCGATTCTTTATCACTGAGCTAATTGAATTGAACTGAATTGAAAGTCGCTCAGTCAGACTCTTTGTGACCCCATGTACTGACTACACAGTCCATGGAATTCTCTAGGCCAGAATACTGGAGTGGGTAGCCTTGCCCTTCTCCAGGGGGTCTTCCCAATCCAAGGCTCGAAGCCAGGTCGATCCGCATTGCAGCTGGATTCTTTACCAGCGGGGCCCACAAAGGAAGCCCAAAGATGGTACATTCACATAAAATGGAATACAACTCATTATCTCCCATCTGGTTTTCTGCAATAGTCTTTTAACTGGTATCCCTTGCCCCCTTTAAAGAACTCCCAAAAATAAAAAGGATCCTTTTTAAACTTGTCATGGTGCTCATCTGCAAATCCTCCAAGCTCCCCATTTCTTGAGTAAAAGACAAAATCCTTACCATGTCCTGCAGGGCCCTCACTCTCTGCACATAACAAACAGATTAAATGTGCACTGTGGCTGCACATCCTCCGTGTGACCTTTAGATGGTCAACTTGCATTTCATCTTTCCTTCCTCGCCTCGTTTCCTCTGACCTTACTCCTCCCACCCCTCTCCCTCCCTGGCCTCCTGGCTACTCTTTGGACATGCCAGGCACACTCTTCCCTGAAGGTCTCTGAACTCCAAGCTCCTCCCCTAGATAACTGGACAGTCACTCCTCACCTCCTTTAAATCCATGCTCTAGAGTCACCTTGAGGTGGCATCTGTCCCCTACTCTGAAAGACACACACACATGCTCTGACAGCCAGCATTCCCCTGGAATTCCACCCCCTCTCCTGCATTTTATTACTCTCTATAGCACTCACCCCTTTGAACATTTTGTGTAATTGATTTGCTAGAATGTAAGCTCTAGGAGGGTGGTGATTTCTGGGGTTTTTTCCCACATTTTTCCTTGTATCCCCAAAGCCTAGAATAAGTTCCAGTACAAAGTAGATCCTCAGTATGTGGACTTAGGACAAGGGAAACCTTTTTTGGTAGTTTTTACCTTTGGGAAACAGAGATCATTTTATACACAGGGTTGCTTCACCATCAGACATATATGGTATTTCTTTAAATCTACCAGCAACAATTCTAAAACCAGAATTTCTTCTTTTTCACATAATTATTTGGGATATATGGCCAGAGTATTCATGGTTTAAAATTACAAGACTTTCCATTTGCTAGCAGAATATTTCCTAGGAAAGAATAAAGTCCAAATGCTATAGTTTCAGTGACTCATCCTGAACACTTGACATATCTCCAGGGAAGTCAGATGCCTTATACTAACACATGGTCAGCAACCTTAGCCCTCTGTCATTTTCTTTTTGTCTTAGTATCTGACAAGGGCCAAAACTATGGAAACTGACCTAGACATTCAACCCTGTAGAATGTCTATACAGTGACTCTAGTGGATTAGGCAAAACCCTAAAACAGATAGTCCCCTCCTTCCTCACTAACTGTATTTCATCCGATTTTGCAACTCTAGTGCACTTAAATTTCCAAAGTCCCTCTATGGAGTGCAGAATAAGAAAAATATTATCTGTAGGATGTTTTTGAACCTGCAGAATTTTTATCTTGTGACAAATATTTTAATGATGACTAGTTATATCCTATCACTGAGACTGAAAATATGGTGAGTTCCACCTTAGTTGTACCCATTCCTCAATATTATATGTTTGTACTTTTTCTCTACTATTATATTGAGAGCTATTATGTGAAGAACTGATTAGTGCTTGAATTTCTATAGTCCCACAGGACACTTCCCTGTGACCACAAGTAAAAGCTCAACATCTAAATATAATCCAGCTAATGATCCAGTTGATAGAAGCAAAGCTTATCACTTTGACTAAGCTGAGTAGGTAATTTAATACTCCAATAATTTGAATTATTAATTGTACCATAAGACATAGATTCTAGTTGCCTTTAATATCCTCTCTGAGGTCATGACTAAATGCAGCTTTCAATGATCTGGGCTGCAAAGAGGCTCTAACTATGAAACTGATCTGACAACTTTCCACTCTGTTTTTTTCTTCTAAGTGGAAGACACACATGTAAGTTAACATTATACAGCCCCTGCCTGCACACTCAGAACCCATGCCAAAGGAACACACTGATAAAGCAAGGACAGCAAAATGTCCTTGGTGAGGAAAAGAGTTATCAGAGGACCATGAAAACTTTCTGCTGAGACATTCATTTAAGAGATCAATCAGAAGCAACACAAGAGAAAAAAATCTCTATCCAGTGCTTGCACGTAGACAAGGCATTTGGGGAAAACAGTATTCTTCCATGTTATATGAGTGCTCGGTCATGTCCGACTCTTTGCAACTCCCTGGACTGTAGCCTGCCAGGCTCCTCTGTCCATGGACTTTTTCAGGCAAGAATACCAGAGTGGATTTCCTTCTCAAGGGATCTTCCTGACCCAGGGATTGAAGCAGTATCTCCTGCATTAGTAGGCGGATTTTGTACCACTGAGAGTGTTAACTGACATATATTTAGATTTATATGTGCTTTTGAATGAATTTGACTCCTTGCATGTATTGCATCTTACAACATCACTTTTTCTAACATTATACTATAAGCCCTTAAGTGAAAGACTGAGTTGGGATGACTTTGTGTCTTAACTAGAGTTTTTTCCACATGACCAATGGGAGA